AGAGAAGAACAAAAACAGCTAGACAATTTTGGACTATAATAAAATGGAGAGGTTTATCCCATGAAAAAGCAAGACTTATTATAAAACCGTAGCAGAAACATACAGAAATGGGCAGGCTGGGTAGACAGTACTTCCACATGAGTCTTTTCTAAATATGATAAGCTTCTGTTATTTAGCAGGTCTGTTGGGTAAAAACAGTCATGTAATTTTATTCATGACTGCCTTGGACAATGTCCAAGTCAACAGATTCAAAGATGCTTTGGATACAATGAAAATCAATCTTTTGTATGGTGCTTGTGAGCAATCTGGATGAAACAATGTCAAACTGACTCAATAATATCTTCATTTGGAGGAAAAATAAATGCTAGGTAAATAATGAGAAAGTAGGTTATTTGAGCTTACAAACAGATCACGGACAACTCTGGAAAATTGTTCTCATATTCTCTTGTTGATTTCAAATTTGTTCATTTCAAATTTGGAACACAAGTTCCCAGTGTGGCTATGCAACCAAAGTTATGACCATGCATTGGATCTTCTTGCAGTTAAATTAATTTTTGTAGTACTATATGTCTCATCCTTGCAGCCTTACAGATTAACAATCAGGAAGATTCAGGTTTGATTCGATTTAGGGCTTTTATAATTTGGGGGCTAGAGGGTATGTTTTCTTTAAGAACACATTTTAATAATAATTAGAACTTTCCACAAATTAGTTTTTGATTCTGGATATTAAAACTTGTTTCTCCTCTCTGACTCACATATTTCCAGGGCCTGCATTTAGAGGACCAGTTTATACCATCATACAAACTTTGACCCAGCACCTTCATGCACACTGTGTGATAGCTGTACCTCTGAAAGTCATTCCTGTACCTGGATTGCTAGGAATTAGCTTAACTAGACCTGGAAGTGATGCAGAGCAAATACATATATCCCATGAAACACAAACTTTCATTCATCAGATCCTCAGGATACCTAAGGTCACTACAATACCACACAACAGTGTGGTGGGAGGGAAGTCAGAGAGAAGAGACACAGCAGTCTCAGGCAGCTGTAGTTAAAAGTTATTTTATAGGGCCCTTTCTGGTGGCTCAACGGGTTAAAGCACAGCACTATGAAGCGATCCACAGCCACTGCAGCCTGAGTTCAATCCTCTGTTAGCCCCGGAGGTGATCCACAGGGTACAGCAGACCTCTCTTGACCCGCCTGCTGTTCCCCTCAGCAGTGTATTCAATAGATCTGCCTGTTCAGCTCCCCACTGTCTCTGGTGAATCCTCTCATCCCCCGCACCTCTGGCCTTTACCCCAGTTCTTGTATACATAAATAAATATGAATTTTAAAAAAGTTATTTTAGGCCCTCCCTGGTGGCGCAGTGGGTTAAAGCACTGCACTGAGAAACTAAAGCCACTTCCGCATGAGTTTGATCCCTGCCTGCCCCGGAGGTGACCACATGGCGCGGCAGACCTCTCCTGGCCTGCCCGCTGCTCCCCTCAGCAGTGTGCTTCGTCAATCTGCCTGTTCTGCTTCCCGCTCTGTCTCTGGTGAATCCTCTCACCCTCCGCATCTCTGGCCTGTACCCCAGTTCTGTACGAATAAATAAATAAATCTTTAAAAAAAAAAGTTATTTTATAATTTTACAAAATCAGAATGATCATGAAGACACATTTCTAGAGTCCTTCCTAGAGTACTAACCCTTCATTGGCTTGACAGAGTATCATTTCCTGACATTCAAATATTAGGAAAAGATTTTTTAAAATAATAAAAGAAAATATTCACTAAATGTCACCTGCTGTTATTATTGCTTAATTAACTCTATGGGCATTGGGCTTATTTCAAAACAAATTAAGAGTTTAATTACAAGTTTACCCATGATCACCCAATTAAGAGAAAAAAATGCTCTTCATTTTTGAAACTGGAACTAATTGCTTCTTACAGTTTTTATATCCACTAATCCATTCATGTTCCCTGAAAATCTTCCCCATTCACCTGCCTCGGCCACCTCTACATATTTATATTTGTTTCTTACTTTACCACTTCACCCTTGTATTCAAATAAATACAAGTGCCTGTACTTAGTGTTTGAAATGTATGTCTTGATAAATTCTGACTAATTTTTAGATTTCTTAGAGAAGTAGAAGTCTTAAAAACATGAAATATTCATTGATGAAATGTTCATTTGTGAGGATATTCACCATTACTTCACCATCTGCTAACACTAGTGACTTCACCCATCTCTATCAAAGTCTTGGTCATCTATTTGGAGTTATCCAGTCCTCAAGTACAAGAGAAATCTCTTGCAAAGTAAAACTGCAATCTTACAAGAAAGTATGAAATTTCATGACAGTGATATTGATGAGCTGCTGGATATACAAGCAATCTCACTAGTAAAGGAGCATTTCCAGAGTTGGGCCAGGAAACAAATGAAAAGAGAGAGAGAATCATTAAGAAGGATGATGTTGATGATAACATCAATTCATCAAAAAAAAAAAAAAATTTTAGCTTCAGAGGACTAAGAGAAGGCTTTAGTAAAATTCAACCAAGGCCCTCTACAACTTTTGCAAATAGGACCCTGCTGCAGAAATTAAATGCAAAATGAATAATGAACTATGTAAATATAATTATGTCCCCACAAATTAACACTTGATTTATCAGAATTTAGCATATCATTATAACTATAACCCCAATGTATTAGACATATGACAAATTCATTTCTATTATTATTTTGGCTCATTATTTTTTTTATGACAGTTTATTTTTATATCATTTTGTACATTTTTTTTCCCATCTCAATTGTAATCCCCGCGGGTTTCCCATCACTATTTTGGCTCATTATTTTAAGATAAAATCCCAACCAAGTCTTTTTCTTTCACTATGCAGTTCAGATTTCCCCTAAAATACACCCATTCTAAGAGGTGTTTTTTGTATCTTAGGAAAAGGAAGACCTCTTGTATTCATTTCTATGTTTCCCAAACATGCAATATTCATTTCCCAAACATGCAATATTCAAACATTCCTTGGGAAATTGTAAAAAAATGCAGTCATGTGGGTTCCCCTGCTAGGCCATTCCGAATCTCCAAGAACTGAAACAGAATCTAAGAATTCCATATATTTAATGATCATGTTATGGGATTTTTAGGATAATCAGGAAAATGTGGGAATAAGAGAATAACTACTTTAACTCATCCAAAGCAGAAAGATGATGCTTATTTTTCTCTCAATTTTTAAAAAAGATTTATTTATTTATTCATATAGAGCTGGGGTACAGGCCAGAGGTGCAGGGGCAGAGAGGACTCACCAGAGACAGAATGGGGAGCAGAACAGGCAGCTGCTGAGGTACACTGCTGAGGGGAGCAGCGGGCTGGTCAGGAGAGGTCCGCCAGGCCATGTGGATCACCTCTGGAAGGGGATCGAACTCATGCTGAAGTGGCTTTAGCTTCTTAGTGCTGCGCTTTAACTTGCTGTGACACCAGGGAGGGCCCTATTTCTCTCTCAATTTTAATGTCTTTTTTTTTTTTTTATCAGCTGGCTTGTACTCACTGCATACTTTTATTTTTAATATTCCTTTTTTCCTAGATCAGTGTCTAATTTATAAACAAGAAAATCTGGAATTTTCATGTAGTTTTTATAATTTTACAGCCTACTTCTGCTTCTCATACTGTTTTCTAAATATTTAAAAACACCTTTGAACAAACCCAAACTCCCTTTCTTTTGGCTCCTTTAAATTCAAATGAGTGATCTGTCTCAAATTTCTTTACGTTCCTTCAGCCTTCATCGTCATGAGCCCATCTTGTCTATATTTATTTGGACATTAAACTGCTTTGCAAATATTACTATATTCTGGCTGTTCTTTCCCTACTGCCTGATTGTCAGCTCCTCAAAGAAAAACACCTCATCTTCCATTTCCTCTGTATTTTCCCCACTGAGCCTGGTGGATTGACTAAGCTGACTAGTGTGCAGTATGCTTCACAGTGGGTGCTTAATAAATATTTAAAAACAGTATTAAAATGTTGAATAAATTTGACAGCAGTGCTGCTCCTCATCACTTCAAGTGCCAACACTTTCCAGGTCCTTCCTCTGCCTAGCAACCATTTCCCAAGATACCTACATGTCCCCAGACGTTTCATCCAAGCTGAAGCTCTCGTTTGATCCAGCTTTCCTTGCCGAGTTGTGGAAGTATTTTTTCCATGTTTCCCCCTGAGGAGTATCTCGTTGGAAACCAAAGATCCTGCTGTGCAACTTGAAGTTGCCTCTTTTCCTTGGTGGTAGTGGGCGTTGGAAGAGGGACAGTGGGGAGGAAAAAGTTTCATTTCAGGTTACTTCCTTTTCATCCTAAATCATCCTTCACAGTATGATAAAGGCTCCTCTGGGCATTTTTCACATTTCTAAGGATGTTTTCATCCTCAGCATCTGAAAAGCACTAAGGATTTTAGATAAGAGGTTTTGGTATTTTAACCAAACTTCACAGCAATACCTCATTTCCACCTTTCCTCCTCCCAACTTAACCACAGTCAGCCAGCTATACTTGCCTTCTAACATCATTCCCCTATTGAACATTTTTTTTCAGGGATATGAAAAGTGTGTTTCTATTTAAGTTAGTGGACCTGATGTGGAAGAGACGGAATTATGTTTTCCTTGATTACAGAATTAAGTTTTGCACAGCACTTTAGCATCTATTCATTGTGCCCTTTAATTCTCATATCTTTGCTTGGTGTACAGAATAGGGGTCCTCACTCCAGGATAAGGAAGTGCTAACTCCAGGATAAGGAAGTTACTTGTCCAAGCTCACACAGCTTGGCATGAACCCACGCTAGCACAGGACCCGGTCTCTGTACCGAGTATTTCAACTTCACAGAATAACCTCTGCTTTGTCCATAGAGATACGACTGCTAAGAAGCTACAGCAAGGAGGACGAGATGGAGGGAGGGGCTGGGAAGGCGAGAAAAGCACACCACGCACGCGCAGATCGCCCAGGGGAGCCAGAACGCCTCCACCAGCCACCCGCTGAGTGCGCAGGCGCACTTCCTCAGCCAGAAGGTCAAAATAAAGAGGGCGGGCTTTAGGCCCGCGCAGGCGCAATTGTGGGCCAGCCTGCCAAGATGTCGGTCCCCAAGTACGAACCGTCGCGGCTGGCCACTCTGCCCACTACCCTCGACCCTGCCGAATACGACATATCTCCGGAAACCCGGCAGGCGCAAGCCGAGCGGTTGGCAATCAGATCCCGGCTTAAACGGGAGTACCTGCTTCAGTACAACGACCCCAGCCGCCAAGTGCTCATCGTGAGTGGGGGGCCGGCCGGGCGGGAACCGAGGGCCACAGTCCGGGCTGTCCCCTCAGCTGGGCAGCCCAGACCCGCTAAGGACCTGCAACGACGCAGTCACCGATCGCGAACAATGTCTTAGACACGAGCCCTCTTCCAGGTTCAGAGAGCAGGCTAATTCACTAGCCCTTTGACCTTGGGTACGGAGTAGGTAGTCAGAAGGACGGGTTCTGCACTTACCTGTCTGGGTCACTTCCCGCCTGAGTGATCTTCAGGCTTTGTTGCCTGGCCTCGGCTTTCCTATCAGAAAAGTAGGGACAATGAAGTGCTTCCAATCTTGGGAGGCTGTTAATGAGGATTAAAAGATAGGCCACGTGACCGGTCAACTTGTAATGTGTGTTCCGAAAATGTTTGCGCCTTTCCGCCTTTCTGTCAAAGCAGTACTGCTCTTTCCAGATAGGATTATAGTTATTAAGTTTTATGTCTTTTAAAGATCCAAACACCCTGCAGCTTGTTGAAGATTTGGGTTTTGGTGTCAGACGCCAACACATCACATACTGGCGAATTTTATGACCTTGGACAACCTGCCTGACCCCTCTGAACCTTAGTTTTCTGATTTTTATGGTCTTGGTGGAACATTCTTTATAGACCGGTTGTGAGATAAAATGAGATGGACTGTGTAACATTCCTGTATATGCCTAGTAGGCTAATAGCTGTTATTTTTAGCAATTTTAGATATTTTGTTTCAGATATTTAGATAATTATGTTCAAGAGCTGTTTAAATATGTCAGTTATATTTCTTTAAAAGGATTTCTCGCAGTAGTCACATTAGCACTCTACAGAAATCTTGGAAGTTATGAAGATTGAAGGACATTTACAAGATGTCAGGGTCTTTGAATATTCTAATATCCCAACTATTCAGAGTTAAGCTCCACTACTGTCCCAATTTTACCTATAGGAAGACAACATGGAAAGTACAACTAGGTCATAGAGTGGTACTATGTAGCAAATGGTACTAGAACAGGATTTGAACCTTGGTCTGTATAACCCAAAGTATCTGCTTACCCATTTGTACCATCTCCAGCTGGAACCTGTGTACTTGGGGATAATTTTCTCAGCTAATTTATTTTATACATATATATTTGGATTTAATGTAGTAGAGAAGAATTAGACTTTGAGTCTGAAAAAGCCAATATTTCAAGATTTTTTTTTTTTTAAAGATTTATTTATTTGTGCATACAGAACTGGGGTACAGGTCAGAGGCTCAGGGGCGGTGAGAGGCTTCACCAGAGACAGA